GAGGGATTGCCTTCGAGTCAATGAGTCGATGCAATCAACTGGTTTTCCTTAGATAGAAAACTTTGAATCAATCTGACTGGATGATCTGTTTTAACTGTAAAGAGCCTTGAGATGACGTGTTGTGAATTGGCGCTATAGAAATAAACTGAATTGAATCCATGAAATCCAGCCATACAAAGAAATCAAACCATAGATGTCCAGAAATTAATTTATGTGTAATAAAGTGAAATGGCAGAAGGAAAAAGTATGGAACACATGAAGAAAGGGAGGTAAAAAAAAAAAAAATTATCATACAAGAAAAATCTCATGATGGGTAAAAGTAAAGAGCTTTCTCAAGACCTTTGCAATCTTATTGTTGCAAATCATAATGATGGTACTGGTTCCAGAAGGATTTCTAAACTTCTCAATGTTCCAGTGAGCACTGTAGGAGCCATGGAAATAACATCATTTCACCATAAACCGTCCACAACCAGGTGATCCCTGCAAGATTTCTGACAGAGGAGTGAAAATAATTGTCAGAAGAGTTGTCCAAGAGCCAAAGAGCACATGTGGAGAGCTTCAGAAACACCTGGAATTAGTAGCTACAATCATTTCAAAGAAAACAATCAGTAATGCACTCAAACGCCGTGGTCTGTACGCTCACCATGAAAGACTCCATTGCTGAAGAAAAAGCCTGTTGAATCTCGTTTAAAGTTTGCTGCACAATGTTTGGACAAGCCTGACAAATACTGGGAGAACATACTCTGGTCAGATGAGACCAAAATTTAACTTTTAGGATGCCATTAACACACATCATGTTTGGAGGTCAAATGGAATTCCCCATCACCCAAAAACACCACAGCAACAGTGAAGCTTGGAGGTGGGAACATCATGGTGTGGGGCTGTTTTTCTGCATTCTGTTCTGGCAAACGTCAATTAATTGAAGGAAGAATGAATTTAGTTCAGTTTATTTATAAAGCGCCAACTGACAGCACGTCATCTCACGGCACTTTCCAGTTCACCAGATCATCCAGTCACATTGATTCAAAGTTTTCTATCTAAGGAAAACCAG